TTTATTTATTTATTTATTTATTTATTTATTTATTTATTTTGGTCTTTTTGAGACAGGGTCTCCCTGTAGCCCCAGCTATCCTAGAACTCGCTATATAGACCAGGCTGGCCTTGAATCACAGAGATCCACATGCCTCTGCCTCCCAAGTGCTGGGATTAAAGCCATGTGCCACCACACCCAGCTTACCCTTCCCTATAACATGGCTCTCAAAACATTTCAAATTCTTGTCAAGTTTACTCCCACCAAGGTCTCTTTCCCTTTTATTTTGTTCGTTCTTACACTAACTCTTGGAATTTTCAATGGTTTATTCAAACTTTGGATTTCAGCTCTTTACCTCTTCAAACAAGCCTTTCCCAGTGTCTCTTCTCTTTCAAAGAACTACTCCTATCACTGTCACATTACTTTGTTTTTATTTAACCCATGGCAATTATCCATCTCTAAAATTACTATGCTTGCTCGTGGTGCACTTATTTATGGGTGGTGTCTCTGAAGTGCTGTGAGAGCAACGGCTCTGTACTGTTGACTAACATTCTCAGCAATCTCGTGCATAATTAACTGTTGGAAAAAATAAGTCCTCTTAACCCTGGCTGGCCTGCCTTCTCCGCCCATGCTTCCCACAATTGCTGTGCCTCAGTTAGAGTGGTAAGTCTGGGTGGCTGTGAACACAGCTCCCCTTGCCTAGAATACTGTCTTACCTGCATGCTCCAGACTGTTTATTTCCTTGCACAAGCTGTTCAATACTTCCTACTCCAAGAAGGCTTTTCTCTCTGGACTTGGTTTCTTGGAGACTATCCCTTTGATTTATTATCCGCCACCATGAGTTTTAGTGGCTGACACATAGTCAGAACTTTTTAATTTTTGTTTTTATATTTGGTAAATCTTTCCTCATCAATAATATACTATAGCTAAATAGCAGGACAAAGAATATAGACCTAATAGAAATTTGTGGAATGAATGCAATCATGCATGCATGAATGAATGAATAGCTGGATACCTGTCACAGTACAATCCTATTGTGTTGGGAGAGCCGAGATGTCTGCTTTCTTCCCTCCTGTGACTCACAACAGAATCACTTGCTTGAAACAGTCCAGTGTGTATATTTATTATCATATGCAACTGATATATGAGCTTGAACTTTACCCTTTTCTTTCCTATAAGACTCATTAAAATGGAAATGAATAAGTGAGATTTAAGGTATTATTAGAGTATTGTTTTAATCTACAATAATTTATATGTAAGTACAATAAATTTTGCTTTTCCCTACAGAGACAACTGATGATTGAGAGTGGCAAATGAGCAGGCCAAGGTTATGGGAACCAGATTTTCTTCTTCCATGTTGAACAGAGACTCTTTCTTGACCTCAGCAGCTATTGCCCAGGAGGTGCTGAGCTCTGAATCTGAATCCCCGGGTGCTCACCTCTCCTTGGGCAGGCGAAAGCGAGGCTGTCGGTGGCAGCGCTTGCAGAGATTGAAGAGCCTGCGAACAATCCGGTGTGTTTTCTTGAACAGCACTTTCAGGCCTGCTCCTAGCTGCTGGTAGCGGTGCTGGAGGTTAGTGTCCATGGCCCAGTATTGGGAGATGGCTGTGGAGTTCAGGAATCTGTCACTGGGTAGCCTTTTCAGCAGGACCTGGAACTCTTCTGTGGGCAAAAACACAGGGGGAATGCGATGCAGAATCCTGGGAGGTCAGATTGATGTTTCCCCAGAACTAGGGAGCCCTCAAAGTCACTGCTCAGTAAGAAGGCCTCACATTCACTATGCCAGATTTGTAAAAAGTTATTATTAATGGCTATATTGGAAAATCATAAAATATGGTTTCAGGGCTTTTTCTGTCCTTTCAATTCTAGTGTATCTCTGAGTTTCCAAACAGATCTCTGGGACCCCTCAAAAGACTAGATGTTCGGCTTTTCCTAATACCCTTGGGATGTGCCTCTTTCCCTTTTACATTTCCTTATAAGTTACCCATGATATCGCCTTAAGCCAAGCTTCTTGACTTTCAGAACTCTCTGGTGAAAGACAGGTAAATACAGGCACACAGAAGGTACAGGCCCAATTCAGAGATCTTAGAAATCTTTTGCTCCCTGAGCCTAGCCGCTCCCTCCACAACCTACTCTCTTAAGATCCTTCCCTTTCTTAGGCTCACAGTCCTGTATCCACTCTTTCCTGGAGCTAATCTACAAGCAATGTACTTTCTGACTCCAAGCTCCAAGTGTGAGTTCTTCTCAGCTTTCTAAGCACATGATGCTTTCTGAACTCATGCTCAGGTCTCTGTCCTCTCTTTGCTTTTCCTTGGGATTTGCCTGGTGGAGGTCTGGAGGCCCTTACTTCTTCATCAGTAGTAATTCACAGTGCTGAAAGCCTTAAGTTGAATTCTAGAACATCTACTATTCTTAGGCCAAAGTAGGAGGTTGGGGATGGGAATTTGACAATTTTTAATAGTTACATGCATCAACCTATTATATTATCACTTTCAAAGATGTGGACATCACCTCACTTAGGACCCACATGATTAAACCAAGACAGTAAAGCTGGTCAGTAGTAGGGTAAGCATGCAATACCAATTCTTCAGAACCTAGGACATAAACTGATATTGATACTAATTTTAACAGCCACAAATGATCAACTTCTGTTGGGTGGCCACCAGAGCTAGTCTATATATACTTCATCTATTCCATAAGTATTTATTATCTGAAAGCATTTTTCTAGGCACTACGGAATCACTAGCCAGATGGAGAGACAAGATCTGTAATCTCAGTGGTATTCATCTTAACTTACTAAATCCTTAAATACACTTTTAAGTTAGATACTGTCTATTTATGTAAAGAAAGAAGACAACACTTGAGATTCCTGGTGGTGATATAACCTTTCTTTCTCTAGAAATTCATAGACTCAATAAGTGTCTGATTTAAGCTTCAAGTCAAATTTCCAATGTTCTGACTTGTACCTCACAGCCTCCCCTCTTTGGCAAAGGGAAATCCTGAGTCAGTTGACTGCTCACCTGACTCCTCGAACTGCTGGGTGTGAGTGGCCCAGGAGTCCTGGATCTGCATCAAGCTGTCTTCCATGGCTTGGATATCAGCATCAGGACAGTTGCATTCAGGGAAAGTGGGACTGCATTTGCACCAGCAGTCATTCTCCTTGCAGACCAGCTCCCCCTCAGAGCTGCATGAGATATAGCTAAGTGCTGCAGCCACGAAACGCTCACGCAGGTGTTCAGGAAGCAGCACCTGCAAGCCTGGGGAAAGGATGAATGGAAAAATCACTGAGCAGAACCAGTGGGGGTGCAGTTTCCCACACTCAAGGCTGTAGGAATCCAGGCTGGGGTTTTGCTGACTGGGCCCAAGAATGGTCACCCCAGGGCCTGATCCTGCTGAGCTGGTTGGGAAAGAGGGTTATCCCAGCCCCTGTGACAGATGGGGGAGTATCTGAAAATGCAGATGAGGACCATCAAAGCCCAAGGCTTAACCTAACTCCTCACATCAGGCAAATTGAGAGCGTGCATATCATAAGAACAGGCTTACTGGCTATACATCAGCATTTCTAGGGGAGAAACAGGAAGATGTTTCAGATAAAAGAAGAGCTTACAGCACTCACGGGGGAGGAATCAAGGCTTGATGAGCTTGCACTGCCTCCAATAGCCATCCTGTTTTTAGGTTCACCAAAGTTAGCAGTACATGTACTAACTCACTACTAAATACTAACCTTTCTGAGCATCCCATTCCAGTCTGGACAATTGGGTTATTGCCCTGGTTAGGAGATAAGGTGGTGCTGGTGGTATACCCAGGTACTATGACAAGTATTTTCTCTATATATAATTGCTAGGAGTTCATGGTCATCTTATCCTAGGATGTTTTTGTTTTATTTTCTGAGACAAGGTCTCATAGCTCAAGCTGTTCTACAAAACTGGTGATGATTTGAAACTCTTGGTCTTCCTATCTCAGCCTTCTAAGTACTGGGATTACAGATGAGTACCTACATACCCAGCTTCATGTTGAAATTTTAAAGAAAAGACAGTCCAAACCAGAACAGCACAGTGACTCATTTGAGTCATAGCACTGGTGTCAGTCACTTCTTTCATCAGGTCACAATCACACGGCATACCTGGCAATGGATGCCTATCTCAATATGATTTAACTCTTAAGAAGATCTGACCACCATCTGAATGGTAGTCAATGTCCCAAGATTCATTAGGCTTGGATAGGCATGAACTCCTCTCGGCTCTCATTTTATTGCCTCTTCTGGTCTTGGATATAATGTACTAAGTTACTTCAAGCTTCAGTTTTCTCATCCATCTGTGATGGGTATCCGTTTACCAGGAGAACACAGGTTGGCTTCAAGCCACACATAGGTGGCTGCTAGAAGTTCACCAAAGGATGAATGAAAGATAGATGTGGCTTTGGATGCAGAGTGGGCCATGTTTGAGGTTAGATCTTCGGGAGTCTCCTCCAGATAGTACTGGGAGAGTAAGGGATAGAAAGACCTCTGCATATGATGAGCCCCTTTCCTTAAATATACACCATTTCCACATCCTTGACTTTGTCCTTGGCAGGAAATCAAAGAGCTGAAAGTGTGTATCCAAGTCTCAGCAGACCTCGCACTATAACTTAAAATTGTCAGCAGCCTTAGATGTTTTCTGTTCTTATTTGAGGTCCATCCCCTATTCTGAACTGCTACTAAATTTTCCTTTCTTGAGTCTGTGCCCACCACAGCACTTGACAGTCCCCAACACACATACCATATCCACAGGCTTGCTTTCAACATTCACCCTCTTTAAGTACTTTCCTCCTCCCCGTTGCGTCCCTCCTCCTCACCAGAACATTTCCCATTGCTATAAAATAAGTGCCCTGAGCAATGTCTGCATGAGTGATGGGCTATAAAATTAAATGGCATAAACTATTCCAAATGAACCAGCGGACACTTTGAACTTCACTCACTGCTAATTTCCAGGCACAAACCCATCTCCTACAGGGACATGGGAGAAGAGCGATGTCAATTGTATTAGGAAGCTCTGAATAAGTCTTTTACTCCTTGTTATTATATATTTCTTGATTCCTAAAGCAAGGCTGGTTGCATCTGGCTCAGATTGCCTGGAATTTGTAATCGTAGATCCTGGGTGAGGGCTATTGATTTTGTAATGCTGGGATAGTAATATCTTAAACAGAGCCCAATTTGGTTAGGTATTAAGAAAAATGAACTTTCCCTCGTGAATCAATTTACATAGCCCTTCCTTTACAGAGCTGAGGAGCAGGGCCGGTAGTGTGCATCTCCACTTCTGTCCTAGGCTTTGGTCATACTACAGAGGCTTTTTCTTTCCCAGTTTTGTCTATTCTGTCTCTAGTCCTAAGGCTCCTTTCATTCCTCTCATATTCTTTCCTGAAGTTCCCATGGAAGATCAGAGACAAATAAAAGAAAGCAAGGGCCACTCTCCTATTGTGATTACAGATCAGAGGTCCCAAAGTGTGTAGACCTCATTTGACTGAGAGTTGGTGAGCCCATAAGGACTCCACAAAGGCTAATTGTTCCTTAATGTGTCTTTAGGACAAAGCAGAGGACTTTGGGATAACAAAGGCGATCTCTGAGCTAGGCCAAGGCTTATAAGGATGTCCGTCTGACTCCTACAGGATAAGACAAGTTTTGAGAAGGAATACACAACGGCAGAATTTAGCTATCATGTTGTTGGAGCAATGGTCATGGGTGTAGGACAAATCATCAGAAGTTTTCTCAAAAAAATTTATAGAAAGTTGTTAAGTGCTTGTCCTAGAACTTGTGGTAGTTCTTGTTGTAAGAAGGACTTAACCAAGGCAGGCAAGGGTAGGAATTAGCTTAGCAACATAAGACACCAAATAACGTGGCCTCTGCACATGCTTTCCTAATAATGCACTTGATAGACTTGGACGGACCTTAGACTGCATGTAGTCTGCACACCACCCTACTCTAAACAATGCACCCAGCAACCTGTTAGCAGCCTGGAATCCTCAGCTGTATCCAGCTGCATTGCATTCCACCCTGAACAATGTAATACATTTTTCTTCCCCTTAACAGCCATCAAAGTTATATTTCATTCAATTTTACTCCACTTATGTCCAGGTACAAAAGGAGGACGGTATCTTGCCTAGACTGGTTTGGAGCATATGTGCAATAAAGCAAAACTGTGTTCCCAAGTGAACTTTTTGAGAGACTCTTTCATTTACCATCTCATACCACCTTAGGTCAACCAAAATTAGAAAACCACCCAAACTATACCTCTGATTACCAGCTCCTCCTTCTCTTGAACACCATAAAAGGAAGCCTCAAACAATACTCAATACCTTTAAGCACCTTTACTCACAAGGCCTGCTGTCAATTTTGGCAGTGTATTGCTAAACTGTACTATTTCTTTGAATAAAATTACTTTGCTACTTTTATAAATCTGTGTGAGCTCTTATTTTAGTCCTTTGAGTAAGAGTCAAAGAACATGGAAACACCCTGCCCAGACTCTGACCACAGGTAACATATTCAAATGAGAAAACAAGCCCTTTTCTTTCTCTTCAGTGATCCAGGTTTTCCATCATGTATGAGCGGTGTGAAATCACATGCAACTACTTACCCAGTAACTGCACTTTGTTCTCTGGACTCTGAACCAGGACAGAGCTGACTGAGTCCAGATTGTCATAGTTGCTGCAGCCCAGGGGGCCAGTCCTGGTCTCTGTGACCTAGAGAAGAAGGACAGGATATGGAATGAGAAAACAATAGGAAGCTTTTTCTTTGCCCTTCCTTTCCATCCATCCGTTAGAGTTTCCACATCCGGTCTCTGACCAGTCGAAGGAACTCCATGTGTCTTTCCCTTCCCCAGAAATATAAGGTCACTTTGCCCCCTTGTCCTGAGTCAATGAACATCTGTTGTGTATGGTTGGCAACACGGTTGGATATGAGTGAGACCCTTTCAGAAGACTCCAAATGAAATTTATATTCTAGAAGAGAAAATTCAGCATAGGCAGAGAAAGTTGGATATAGAATGAGACCTTCAAGTTGGCATCATCCTTTTCCTACCCTAGAGGAAGGCAAAGGGCCAGAGGTTAGCCCATATTTGAGCCTTGCATCTGCTTGACGTGGTGCTCACAGGTTTTAGAGATCCCAAAGATGAAAAGCACTAGAGATATGAGTTATGAGCATTATTATTAGTATTAAACATTTAAGTCCCACCTCAGCACTGAGATGTCCTTAGAGAAAATCAGCCATGAGCTTACTGCATATTTTAATAAGTGTATTAAATATACATAAACTCTTGTAGCCATGTAATATTCCAAACACCATATTTTAAAGTATTATAAAGTTGGCCCATCAGTTTTCCCTGATGTTTAAAGTATAAGATGAAAAATGGGAAGCTTTAAATGTGCTGAAATAATTATGTAATAAGAATGATGGAGACCCGAGGCCCTTTCTTCTCAGGATCTCCAAAGTCTTTGCCAACAATCAATCAACCAATCAAGGAGTATTTATTGAGCAGCCACTATTCAATTCCATACAATTCATCAAACATCATAGAGTGCCTTTCTGGAGTTCTGAGTTTTACCTGATACTGCTGACCCTCTCCGGTAGCTCCAGGCACCTTTGCTTTGTAGCAAGCAAGTGAGTTCCAGTTTTAAATCCTTTTCTGGGAGTATTTGATTAATGCCTGGTTCCTACATGCTATAGTATACATAGAGGTAAGCTCACATTTATTTCACTTGCTGTAATGTCAACAGCAGCTTGTACAGTGTCTGGCATATCATAGGTATGCAATGACCCTAGAGAATGTATGAGTAATGCATTCTAGTCTTTTCAGGGAGAAAGGCACAAAGATATTAATGAGCCATTTGAGGAGGCAGGTATATACACAAATGACTACTAGACATCCAAATTGCTACCAAACAATATGCTACAAGACATGGAGAAAAGCATACCTTTAAACAGAGGCCTAACAACAGGAGCAGAGGAAATAGCATCAGAGCTGGTCTTTAAAGGGAAAGAGAAAGTAGGCAGGAAAAGAACTTAGGGGAAACACGTAAAGAGAAAAAAACAAAGTCCAGCAGAATCTACAGCGCATAGGCCCAAAAGTGTGTAGCCATGTGTCCAGGGCCCTAGGAAGGCCAAGGTACAGGGGACATCACAGAGTAGATTATGTTTACCTAGGCTTTAAAAATACACAAGGAATAAAGTTGTTAAGTGGGAGATGGAATGGTACTACACAAATACTGGGAAAAGAGGCAGGAGTGATCTTGGAGCTTAAAGTAGAATGAGACATGTTTATGGAGGTGGTGAGTCATCACTTGGTCTTGAAAAAATGAGTAAGGGTACAAGGGAGCTGGCAAAAGAAAGGCAAGAGGGGTGGCAGTGAGTAGCGGAGCATCTGAGAGGCAGCAAAACACAGTCCAAATGAGAACCAGGACCAGAACCAGATGAAGGGCAGGAGCGACTCTCCAGCTTTTCACCCTGCTAAAACAGCCCAGGTGTTCTCAAGGACAAATTTTACTCCTATTCTTCAAAATGGAAGGCACAATTCAGATAGCTGAGTGGCTGAGCTAGAGTTTGGCAGAAAGTATATTAAAGAACATTATTTTAAATATTTATTTATTTATTTGAGATAGGGTATTACTTTCAGTCTGACCTCGAACTCATTTTATAGTCCAGGCTGTTCTCACAGCAATCTTCCTGCCTCAGCCTTCTGAGTGTAGGGATCATAGGCATGAATCCATAAAAGAGGATTATAAAAGAGTTTTAAGACTCAATCCTTTGCCTTTCATTTCTTAAGAAAGCAGGTCAAAGGGTGGGAAGAAGTGAATTTAAGCTACCTTAAGATGTCATCACTTGCTAAACAAGTATTCTAAACAGACCAGTCTACCTAATATGCTCATGATAGGCCTCAAAAGGTTAGCACTGGGCAATATAAACTGTACTGCTTAGAAATTAGTATTGCTATCCTTCCAACAGAGAATAGGAAAACAGAACCTAGGTAAGTTAAATGACTTACTCAAGGCCATATACCCAGTGGCGTGCTTCAGTGTTTTCTCAAATTATTTTATTCATTTATTTGCTTATTTAACAAATATTCAAGGAGTAACAACTCACAGGTGAACAGGACCATTGCTGCCAGCAAGGAGCTTGCAAATAGTGAAATGTTTCTATAATCCCAGTGTTTTTGGTGACTCTACAAGGGCTGGCCTCTCTATACATGTGAGCACTAGGTGCTGAATACTTCCTACTGAGTGAGTGATTGGCTAGTGGTCAGACCAGACTGAGAACACAGAGTCAGACTTATTTGAAGGTCAAGTCTTCTCTTTCTGTCAAATTTCCTACAAGAAGAGCTATAGCCAACAACTAACTCAGTGATTCCAGGGAAACCTGTGTGGATACCTGGGCCAAATGGCAGTAGCTGGATGATGAGCTATTTGGGAGACTGGATTGTTCCTACCTCCAGGTAAGCTGACCCTCAAAATGTCACTATGTTGTAAATTGGATTTTCCTCTACCCACTACTGAATTGGTGACTCACCAACTAGCTCTAGGAGGGAAGGAGATAACGAGCTTTATGTAGGGATGGGATATGACTCAGGGGGGAGGGCAGGTCAGAGAACATCCACAATAGACTCCCTTCCTCTGGCTTTCCATCCCCAGCACCAGTTCTTGGGCTCCTCCCCACCCACCACCATTGTTTTTGGCACACTGAGACTGACTCTGGTCTTATGATTTTTCTCTCCTGTTTTAAAGGTCGGTTTCACAAGATGACAGTCAGTCAGCTAGGTCGTTGAGAGATGGGAAGGACTTCCCTTTGTTAATTGTGACATGGCAATAGGAACTGATGAGACTAAGACTCACTTCCTGATAGAGGGAAGGGTAGCAAGTCAGGTCTTCACAAGGAAGGCTCGCTCAGGCTTCCCTAGTTCTTGAAGTCATAGGTCTTTTCATTTCTATTTTGTTCTGAGACCATCTCTCTCTTCCCTAGACAGATAAAATATGGGAAGAAGAAAGGGGACTGCACAGGGTCCCACACAGACACTGGCAGGCACTGACCTGGGTGAACAGGATGGGCTAATACAGTCCCCCTCTCCCAGCCTGAGTGATGAAAACCCCTGTCTCTGGCGGGCCAGTCAAGACAATCCTGCAGCTTTCTCTGTAAAGGGGCAGACAGCTCTGGAAGATTATTAAGAAGGCCTATAGAGGTAACAGAAAGTGCAGCTCACTTAGGAACACACATTCAAAAAGTGCCTCAGATAAGCTTTCAGAAGGGGAAAATAATTGTGTGCTAATTGGTCTGTTGACAGAGACCATCCTGCCTTCCGAAAGCCCCAATGGGTCTCAGGTTCATTAGTACATCCAATTTTCCATAATACCAGATTGTGCAAACCATCATTCCAGGAAGGCTACACTCCTCCCCCTTCTCTCACTCCAGACTGTGCCTGCCCTACCTGGAGGGACACATGTAATGCTAAGGACAGAGGAAAATGGGCTTCTAATGGTGAGTGATAGGGCTGGACATGGAGAGCACAGCTGATGGTGTGTGTGCTTAAAAGGCTACAGAGTGAATCCCAGGCTGCTGCATCTTTTTGCAAGCCATTTTTAAGGATGCCTTGTGAAAAACACTCCCTTTTACCACTCTGAGATCCAACTGACCTTTTGTGGGGGCTCTCTTCAGATAGATCCTGGGCATTTCAAACCCTCCTGACCAAGTCCTTCCACTAAATAGACCTGAGCTGTACCTATGTACAAAACCCACTTTGAGATACTGATCCCTTCCAGTAAATTACAGATAAAATGTATGTGTACATGTATATGTATATTCTAAAAGTATAGTTTGCAAAAGTATTTCCATCTGGTATTATACACACCCTTTTGCCAAGTCAGGAGTAGCAGCACATAGAATAGGAGTGCACTGACTAATTGGCAAAGATACCAGCTTTCTTGCTCAGCAGAGTTCTGGAGACTTCTTGAGGTGCATTTGCCCTCGGGATGCCATTGAAAAGAGGTTAAGAGCCTGGGGGGTGGGGAGGAGTGGCTGGTTAAGGCACAGCAGAGGGAGTTAAAAGTATATAAATATTTCAATATCTTTAAAATGAGAGTAACCATATTAGCTGAATGCAAGTTCTGTGTACAGGTGAATTAGTTGGTAACTCATATCACAGAGGGGAGAGGAGTTCAATGACTTCTGAAGGTCATAGAAATAGTAGGCATCAAGGCCTACAACCCAATCCCAAGGATTCTCGCTCCACTTGGCTTCTTTCCTGCTAAACAATGTAGTCTGCCTTCACCTCTCAAGCATTTTATTGAACATCCTGCTAAATGCCAGATGCTGTGAAGGGACCTGGAGCTAGATACATGCTGCAGAGTCCCTACTGCTTTAAGGCCTGCTGTCATGGTGGGTGTGGGGAGGATGGGAACAGGCATGCAAAGAGATGAAATGCAAAGTGACAAGTCCTATAATAAAAGTGTGTACTGATCAGGGTAAACTTGCAACACAGAGTAATGTTTGAAGGGGTCCTAGAGGAACAAACCACAGGGAGCAGGGCACCTGTCTCTCCATGTTAGTGAAAAAGAAGCTGCTAAGGAAGAGTGAAAAGTAACTACACATTTGCTTAGAAGAAACAGCACAGGCAGATGTCCTAGAGGACTTTCCTTTTGTGAAGGCAGAACAGGTGAGCAGAGCCCCTATCCTGACCCCATTTACCTCTTCACCCAGTGACAGAGTAATGACAGAAATGGAAGCCAGCTACACTACTGCTAAAGCATGTTCAGTAAAGAGAGGCAGGTGGCAGGTACCACCACAAAGAAGAAAGACTGTTAGCTAGCAAAGATGTGCTACATGATCTATCCAGGCTCCATGTAGCACATTTAACATGTGTCTGTAAGTACTGATCATTTAGCGAGAAATGGGCTCTGTTCACACCAATACTGCAGACCAAGTCCAACATCCTTACTCTAGCAGAATGTCCTTGAGATCTGTATACCCCACTGAGGACTGGGAAGTCTGGAAATGGGAGAAAATATGAAATATTCCTATTCTGTACATGGTTTTCTGAGTTATATCCCACAGGGAGAACCCATTATACTCCCAGAGAAAACCTCAGACCAGTCAGTCCAGTGGAAGCTGAATATTCATTTCACATTTAAGTGTCCTTGGAAGAGTTCCAAAAAGAGGCTTCCAAGGATGGTGGTCCTTCCTTTGAGGAAATGGGCAGTGGGTGCAGCACTGGGAAGGGCATCCATAGGCACTATAAGAGATGCGGCGTTGAATACCTATCCTTTCACTCCACCACCATAGAGTTAAAAGCTGTGCCCAGTACCCCATTGTAGGGACTCTGAAAGCTCTGCTTTTGCGATTGGGCTGAGAATCAATGCTGAACCATTTTTATTTTCTGAAGAGAACTGAGAGCTATAATGTTAAGAAAAAACATAAAAGGATCTGATTGTTGAAAATTACAAAACTCAGATAATAAATATGAAGCTTATTATTTTATGTGCTAGACCCATGGTTAGCACTGTGGACTCTGAATATTACTCTCGATATCAGGAACCGAGGAAGTGACAATGAACGAAGATGTGGGCCTTGCACCTCTGGCCTTCACTCACAGATGAAACAGAAAGATACCATTCAGGTGGGGCCAGAGTCAGCTCTGCAGCAAAGCAAAGCTACTTGTTACCTGAAGACACTGAGGTACAGAAAAGTCTGTGGTGAACAGAAATCATAACTGTCAGACAAAGGAATCAGGAAGATGAAGCAGATGGAGATTAAGAAGAAAAACTAGAAATATGTATTCCAACACATGTCTAGAGTAACCATGGCAAACCTTTGGCATATTCCAGATACCTGGACTGCATTTAGTGCCCTTTCCTTAGAGAATACTAATAAAGCATATTTATACTCATATAACCTTGAATAGACTGTTTCTTTCAACTAAGCACACTTGTAGGTATTCGTATACATATTAAGCACATGAACCTGACCCATGTATGACTCATGTGTGAAGTCCATAGACTTCATTCAGTAATTCATTCACTTCATTCATTCACCATTTGACGGTGACTTATTACCCACAGTGTAGCAAGCTCTGTACTCTCTCAGGGGACGAAAACTGAATAAGACCTGGTTTCCTCCATAAGGATCTTTTATCTCATATGTAAATAATCATGTTAGCTAGTAATTATAGTTCAAATGACAAACTCTATTATAGAGGTATGTGCGTAAAACATTAAGGAGGGACATTTATGTTAATGATGCTAACAGAAAGGACTAACATTAACTGAGTCAGGAAAAACCGTAAGAGTCACTTTTCTGAACTGAGCCAAGAAGGGAAAGAAGAACCAATGGTAAACAGCCAGGCATGAAAGCACAACAAAACACAAGTGGGAAGTGAGATATTAGAACAAAGGATATTTTAATAAAGACATGTTAGGTATGACCGAGTTACATGATGTAAATAGAGAATAAAAGGGGACAGGGAGAACAAGGACTGTTTAGAGATGAAATTAGAAATTCAGCAAGGCAGACCTTCAAGGTACACAGTTTTGTTAACAATAAGCCCTTCCAATCTCCAACTGTGTTGTGGTATGGGCTATCTGCACATTTTATTATTAAACATCACAGGGTTTTTCTCAAGTTTGAAACTCTTCCAATTATTCAATAATTTTAAAATGAAGAAACTGCAGTCCAGAGAAGTTTGGTAACTTTCTCAAAGCCCCATCACAGTGGTGGGGCTCATATTCTTGGATCAGAGCCTGTATTCGGTCCTTTGCATCACACTGGTACCCACACCCTGCTCAGGTACAGAGGTTTTCTCTGTCTGTGTGCAGTCTAGAGCGTTGAAGGATTTGAAGCAGGAGGTGACATGATGCAGTGACTCATGCTCCTAGTAGCAGCATAAAGAGTAAATCAGGGAGAAGAGCTGAGAAAGGAGATAGGAAGGCATAAGGCAAGAAAGCCAGATACAAGGTGGAAAGGACTTGGATTCAGAGAACAGAATGGGTAAGAAGAAGATGCAAGGGGCCAGCGAGCTGGTAGTGATGGATGAATGAACCTAAATTAGAGAATGAGCGAAACGGGCTACTAGCAGGCGAAAGAACATGTAAAGTTGGTCAGATGAAAGGATGGGAAGGAACATTCATAAGACCTCCATGCTGTCAGTGAAATGGAGACCTTTCATTTCCTGGTAAGACTTTTCCATTTCTTCTCCAACTGTGATATGGCTCAGACTTTGGTTAAATTCAGCGCACCCTCTAGTGCACACCTACTGGTAATAAGGCAATGAGTGGAGCTGATAAAACTCTCAACTACGCTGACTCACCTCATGCCATAATTATGCCCATGGATCTCATGTGGGTTCTTACTACTACCCCCAAATCCTCTACATTTATTCACTCAGGTGACACTCCTCCCACCCAGAGGTAAACAGGTCACATTTTATCCAACAGTTACTTCTTCCTTTTAGCCAATGGATTTGCTTCTTGTTTCACTGAGGATCAGAACTAATTAGAAGAGAATACCTGCCTCTTCCCACCACTCCATCCAACCATCCTACAACATATGTCATCATACATTCTGTACTGTTCCTGATACAAAGAATTGAGTATTTCTATGTAAGACTCATCTTCATTCAAAGATCATGCCTTCGAGATTATGTCCTATCACTTTACCACTTTCTACTGAATTATTCCAGTCAACATAGCAATAAGCTAAAACATCTTTTCATCTTGAAAATGAAAATCACTTCCCTATAGCCCACCTCACTCTCCAGTGAGTACCCAGTCTGTTTTCCTTTACAGAAAAACCATGGTTTCTATTCATATCTATTTCCTCCCTGTATTTCTTCTCTTAGATACTTTCCGTTCAGCCATTTGTACCCTTCATGTCACTGTAAGTGCTCCTCAGCAGGATGCTACTTACATCCAAGTCACCAAACCCTACATCAGTTCTCTACCTTCAGTGATTAACCAATGAATAGTTCTACACAGCTGCTAATGGCTTTTTGTAAAACTCTTTGGCCAGCTCTGTGATCCCATATCGGTTTTCCCCATACCTTTCTGCTCTGTTTTGATCTTCTTGGTTGCATCCTCCTCTTCCTCCCACCTATGAATATCAGATGCTTCACACTCAGCCCAGAGCTCCTTCCTTAGCCACATTCACCCCTCAAGCATGCTGCTCTCATCCTTTCCCATAGTTCTCAACGCCCACTGCCCTTGTGTATACATTTCTGTGCCTGATGGTGATTTTTTTTTTCTTGAAATCTTGGTGTTTCTGTCCAATTTCCTGTTAGAGTCCTTTTGTTGAATGTCTCTCAGGAAGGTCAACTCAACACCTCCACATACATCTAAAACCAAACTCTTGATTTCTTTCTTCTGGATCTGTACTTCATCCCTAGTATTATCCCCTTCAGTAAGTGGAATCACCATTTACTTGGTCAGGCAACATCCCGCAGCAAATCTTGATTTCCTTCTTTTAATTCACTACCTATCTAATCTCAACCATCAGACTTGATTCTGAACCTGAACATTTCACAGTCTCCAAGCCACAAACTGTGTCCTAAGTCGCCATCATGTCCCATCTTGCCCACTGCAATGGCCACTGCACTGGCCCTAAAGTCACCCTTTCCTCTGTCCCCCTTGTCAGTAAGGCTCTGGTGATCTGGACCTGCAACTTCCATGGTGCTACACTTCCTTCCATGGGCTCTGGGCCATTCTAAGCACACTCTTCCTTAAGGCATTCATGCCTGTTCTTCTTTCTGTCTAGAATGCTCTTGTTCATACTGGCCAGATAAATCCCTTCCTCACTTCATGCAGGCCTATTTAAATGGCATTCATTCCTTCAGACAAGTCCATCCTGAAGACTACAAGTCTCCATCACATTCTGTCCTGTTGCTTGCTTTCATTTTTCATACCATTAGTCACCATCTCTCATCATCTACTTATTTATCTATGCTATTTGAATGCATGTTTCATGAGTGCATAGATTTCTTGTTTTGTTCTTTCTTGCCTTCTCAGGATCTACAAGTATGTCTGATACACATCAAACTCTTACTTTGCCTGATATTAAAATTCCTTATTATGGCTGTGTAATCTCCGGCTCCAGTCTACTTGGGAAACTCATTTTGTACAAGTGTGTTGTTTATATCTCTACTGTCACAGATTTTTCCTCTGTGCTTCAACAGTGTACTGAGCTGGTTCCTGACCTGGGGCCTCAGCACTCTTTTTTGACAAAACAGTCTTTCTTCAGTTCTACACAAATCTGGTCTCATCCTCAAAGAATAAACCTTAAAGTGCCCTTCCCAACCCAAAATCTACCTATTATTAATTGTTCCTTCCCCTCACTCTAGGAAATGTATACCACATTTCTGTCTTTTCTTTAAGTAACTGTCTGAAATTACCTTGTTTTACTAATTATCTCAGCCCCCTCCCCAAGAATGCAGCCTTATCCATTTTTTTGATGACAGTGAACCATTCTTTTTTCCAGATCCTTAGAGGATGGATGAGCCATCCGTGTATGAGAGCTGGCTAAGACTATCAGAAAGCGGCTTTTCCCCCTGCTAGGTCCTAGCTGACCTGAAGTTAGCTAAGACTCTGACCTCCCTGCCAGGCCCTCTCAGAGTGATACCTTGATGGCCCCTGTGGCTATTTGGATATGGTGCAGCCTACGCAGTGTGCTCTCTCTGTCAATGAAGTAGGAAGCTGCCAGCTGGTGCAGGGTTTCCAGGGACACTGCAGAGTTGTTCCCGCTGCCCCCAATGGCAGGGGCACCACCTGTTGTTTCTGTCTTTCTGCTCAGTTTCCGCTTGTCCACAAAAATGGTCAGAGATTCTTCTCCTATAACAAAAACATGGGTTCATTAGTGAGATCTTCCATTCCAGAATCCCCTATCAATAAGAACCTGAAGCCCTCAAGCAGGGCAGACTAAGCTGAGAGCGTTGTCCATGCTGTGGGCCTTCCCCCAACCTTACCATTTTGAGAGCAATCTCCACAGACTGTGCACAGGTCACAGGCCTCACTACTGGGAGTCTCTCCTCCTTTCCTTAGCTCTTAAAGCCTCCCAAAGCTCACCCCCTATGCTTCTCCATTTAACATCTTCTATTGATCTCCATCTCAGGCAATCTGCCTCCAAGGGGGAGAAACAATTCTTCCCTCTCAAGTTGTTTATGAGAAGCCACATGGCTATTACTGCTTCCCCAGAAAGGGCAAAAGCTTTGAGGATCTGCCTCTCCTCTCACCATCAAAAATGCTCACCACCTACCGAATGCCAGCAGCTGGCCCCAACCCCGGGTGAGCAATTTTTGTCCACTGAATACTGAGCTAAACGTTAAAAATAAATCCTGCTTTTTTTTTCCCGTGGCTGGTAGGAGCCTGCATTTTCAGAGTTCTGCCGGGTCCCAGTCCCATTTGCACTGTCCCCATCCCCTCCCCCAATTCCACCAGGGGGGAGAAAACCAAAATTGAGGTTTGGCTGGCTAGCGATCTTTACAGTGAGGATGCAGGGGTCAGAGAGAGACTCAAGGAACATCTGGCTACTTCGTTGCCTATAGATTTGACCTTTATAGCCACATTAAGAATTAAGAATGAGGAAGCCTCGGGCTCCATGAATAGCCAAAATAAAAGTAGGAGCGCCCCCTGCTGTTATATGCTGAGTACGATCCTGTCCAGCCTCCAACCTCCTTACCCCGTACCCCCTCTTTCAGGAGCACATTTAAAAGCACATAGTAAAATTCTGGGGTGCATTTGGATGCCGAGAGAATACGCTGCTCTCCAGTGCACCAGGAAGGAAATATTTCTCAGGAAATAAATAATAGGGTAAGGCGGAAAAAAGACCCCGGAAAATAGTGGATTGAACAGATCATAAAAGCTATTTTCAATTGGCTAAGTGGGCCTGGGGACGATGCTTACCTCCAAGAGTGGCAGAAAGTAAGAAATGAGTGCCGTACTTTTTGATGAGGTTTTCCGTAACCTGTTGCAAGTTGGGTCTCCTTCCAAGGAGGCGGATGTTGCGGACAAACTCCGGGGCGAGAGGCAAAGGCAAACTGAAGAAGTCTTTCCTTTCTAGAGCCAAGTTGTTCACTTTCCAGCGGGCGAACTCCCTGGAGGAAAAGCCAAGTGGTAAGAGACGCTCACTGCTCACTGTTTTTCAGAATAGGCAGCAGGCCTGAAGTCGGTAAGGTCCTTAGTCTGCTTGAGGCCTCATCTCCTCTCTCAGGGTGGAGACCCCAGAGCCTGGACGAGGCTTCCGGGCCCCTCCCCTGAACAGTAACTACCAGACTGAGCAGGTCTTATTCAGCTGACCTCCACTACAGCCTCTCCCACCCAGCTTTCCCAGTAGAGAGTAGTAGCTCCGTCTCTTTCCATGAAGGTTGCCAACCTAGTAGCAAAGACTAGCAGGAACACAGCGGATGACATCATCCATGTTTGGCCTCAGGTGCTCACTGGTAAAATCAGGAAGGCTGTTCAGAAACAGCAGTCCTTTAAAGTCTGGATCTTAGATCCCTTAACGCTTTCGAAAATAACCATATTCCGCATATTTTCTCAGGTGGCTCACATCGATTGATACCACATCAGAAATTAAAATGAAGACAATTAAAGTTCTCTATCTAGTGTTTCATGTTGAAGATAACAGTAATAAACCCATTACACACAACCAAATCGATGCATTTTATAGCAATAACTGTATGCTCTGAAACAAAGCAAATTTAACAAAAAGAGCAGCCTTGCTTTGTGTTTTGTAATTGTAGCTGCTTAGCAAAGCAGCCAAACACTCACATTTGACTGTGATTCAGTTTGTTGTCACTGTGGACTGAGGTGTTGCCCACAGTAAGCTAAGCACATGGTCATCTCCTAAATGTTGCTTACAGCATGGTGTCTGAACTCACATCAATAAACTTTTTTAAACTGTTAACTAATAGTTTTATTCCTTTTATTTGAATTATTTATTTTTTGAGACTTTCATCCATGAGTAGAGTATTTATATCATTTCCAGCCCCTCCTCTCCCCATTGAACTCCACCCATATCCTCCACTCCCTCTAAAATTCATGACCTCTTTTTCTTCAATTATTATTGTTACACACACACACACACACACACACACAAACACACACACACCCTACTGAATCCATTTAGTGTTGCTTGTATGTACATGCCTTATATAGTTAGTAGTATAGCTAACTACTTAGGCCTGGATAACCTATGAAGGAGCTCATCCATGGGAAAAAAATGATATCTCTCTCTCTCTCCTCTCATCATTGATTGCCTATAGGTATTCATCTAGGGTTATGACCTTGTGAAATTTCCCCAGCCACATTATTATGTCAGCTTGTATTGTCATTATGCAGGTCTTGTTTAAGCAACCATATGGTTGAGTCCAGCATCCCTTTATACGTAGAAGACACTACCTAGCAGCAGGCTTCCTGGTACTCTGGCTCCTATAATCCTTCCACCCACCCCACCCCCACTTCCACAATATTCCCTGGGCCTTAGCTCGAGGTATTGTGCTTAGGTATTGATGCAGTATCATTTGGAGCTGGTAACTGCATCTTCACTTGTTCACTGCATTTTGACTAGTTGTGAATCTCTGCAATAGCCTTGAAGCCTCTTTAATGAGGGGTAAGAACTATATTTGTCTGTGGGTATAAGGATAATAATTTAGAATACAGTTGGAAATTATATTGGTTTAGGAAAATGGCAGTAGTAGGTTCTCCTCTAGGGTCTACAACCTATTCAGTTATGGGTATTTGGCTAAGTTTACAGAATCAAGCATGGCTTTCCTCCTATTGAACAAGCCTTAAGTCCAATTCTTTTTGTAATCTAGCTCATTGAAATCTGAGGTTTTATATTGTGCTTTGAATGGATCCTTTTACCGTGTGTGAACATATCACATCATGTGTTGGTCATCTTGGGACTATTAGATCACTAACTTAATTCAGCTTTTTTGCATCCTCTTTTTATTATATAGCACCAAAACATCACATTAGTTAATATGACCACTAATCCCATCAGAAACATATTTAATTAAGAAACTTACTGGCTCATAAAAATGAATATAAATTTTCTATAATTTGAATTTTCATGTAAAGCTAAAATTTTATTTTTCATAACAAATATTGTCAGTTTTCCTTTTAAAAGATAGCTTGCTTCACTTTATTGGAGAAAATGTCTGCCAAACATTTAAGTCTAAATAACTGTAGGTTTCTGCTGCTTTTACTTCCAAGAAAAATGGGGTTCCATGAAAAAAATTGCTTGCTCAGCTTGCAACTCAACAACGTATGTATTTCATTGGTAGCTTCAGACATGCTCTGTGTGTGCTTCTGATTTCATCACACAGAACATTAAAAAGACACGTTCCAACATTTAATGATGTTCACAAATTGTACTGCTTTATTTTTCTTAAATGAAGCTGGTATTTCTCTCTCTCTCTCTCTCTCTCTCTCTCTCTCTCTCTCCCCTCTTTCTCTCTGTACTATATTCTGTGTGTATGTGTGTTAGTTCACATATATAATGATGAAGAGCACATGGCTACTGTAGTCATTTGCAATGACTGCTGTTATTCTTATCAACATATCAGCAGTTTTAGTTGTTTTTTTTTTTTTTTTCATTTTTTTTTTTTGCCACCATCTGTGCAAATGTCACACGGGCCCTGGTTTTGAGAAGCCTGATTGCAGAAGGTGGCAATGTTCCTTTATAGAAGCCTCTAGATTTCAGTCCCCATGCTTTGCTCCTCACTGAAATGTTGGTAGCCCAAAGGGTAAAGATTTTTAGGTAGGATCTTTGTCTTAGGGCAAAATTTGAAGAATCATATCCATTTATGGGAAATGAGTTTTCCATTGTCTCCCATGTTACACTGATAAAGAGCATCTTTACTGTGTTAGGAAGCAATAAGATGAAAGCCTTCACAGCTCACTCATCCCAATCCAGCTCACTGTGGCACTGACCTTCCCCTCAAAGTCATGATGGAGCTGCAGAAAATAAAATGATGAAAAATAAATAAATGAAAATCCATGCTTAATCTGAGACTATAGAAGCCCTCCCCATACCCCACATCTAATTCAAGAGGCTCAGATAGAGGAGGAGCATGTGTCAAACATCACCAGGGAAACAAAGGAAAATGGGTGACTAATAATTCAAGGTTCCAACAAAGTCTTTCAAATTTTTCATTGTGTGGCTTTATTTATCGAACAAGGCAAGTTCATAATAATATATTATCAGTTATTTCTTTTGTGCAGGAAATGCTAAACTTTAATTAAAGTACAGGGTATTTTGTCAAAAGCATCTGCTATCCCAAATCCCACTGCAGGGTAAAGAACAGTTGCCTGATCTCATCTCTAGATGGCTGGATGGGAAGCAGTAGCCTCTCATTGGCTAGAGGATAATTACAGTGTTGAATCACAAAATCAGATTACTAAAAACAGAAACAAAAAATAATAAAAAGAAAATCCTTAGGGTCATCAATCCTAACCCCTCTGCCTTGGGATGGGCTATACTTCGACTTCATTAAGTAATGCTTTCTAGTGTATTTTTCTCTAGATTTCAAGGTTTAAAAAGGGGCCTCCTTTCATACTCCTTAATTTCTTAGTGGTTGGTGTCAGTCACTCAAAGGAATGGTCCCTTTATTGTAAAGTGAACCCCTCTGTAATTAAATTTCATAAATAAAATTGATAGTCACATGGCTGACTCGGTCACTTTATTTAGGTCTCCCATGCATACTCCTTTAAGAAACATTCCTGACCATCTTATCCAAAAGGGCATCTTCCCTCACTCTCTGTCCCCATTTCTGCCTCGTACTTATTACTAGCTGATATCACCCGCTTTTACCTCCTCTTCCTCCTACCAGAACATAAACTCTACAAGGGCAGGTTTTTTTCCTGGTATTTAACTATCTCCAGCAATAGAACAATACTAGCTGTTCTTACAATAGAACAATAGATGTCCAACATCTTTTTGCTGAGTAACTGAATGAGAAGTTCTCCATTTCCTTTAATGTCACAGTTCTCCTAATCTACTAGTTTGCAACTTAACGTGAAATCGATTAAAAATAGATATAGGGTGAGAATATAGGAAGAAATAACCAATTACTGATGAATCTGAAATGAAGTGAGGTGTTCTAAATGTGTGTATATATCGTAAGTTGTTTTACTTATAAAATATAAGCATAATTTGTGCGTTTTAAAAATACAAATGAAGCAAGGCATGATGATACATATCTGTAATCCCAACACTCAGGAGGCAGAGGCAGGAGGATTACTACAAGTGTGAGGCCAGCATGGTCTACCTAATGAGTTCTGGGCCAGCCAGATTTATATAGCTAGACTCAAATACAAAGACAGACAGCTAGCTAGATAGACAGATAGTCAATCACTGCCAGGATATTCTTCTGCTTTTTCCTTTTATACTGTCTGGGTCCTCCTACATTGTCTGAATCAAACGTGAACAACTTCTGTGACTGTCCACTTTCCCCATTCAAAGTCCAGCAAATGAAAAATATCACAATCACTGTGCTGTGCTTTATACTTTTATGCCAAAGATTAACATCTCCATTCCTCTACAGTGAATCTGATAGCAGTTTCTGCCACTCACTGTATGGAAGATTGTCCTAAAAAAGAAACAAGCTTAGAGTTTGCATTTTTTTCTCCATTCGACATCAGACTTGGAAACTCTGTTTCATTCAAGTAAATTGTTAGAGAGCTCTTTACTTAATAATGAGGAAACTGACGCTCAAGAAGCTAAATAACTGCCTAATGTCACATTACTAGAGGAAATGGGCTGCTAGAACTGGAAGAAACATCTGAGTAGCATCGCCAGTTGTCTTCCTGTTATGCTGCACATTGAAGCAGGAGGATTGCCTTGAATTCCAGGTTGGAGTCCTGGATGAAGCTGCTCAGAACAGGGTAAATCAAAACAAGAAACCCTGTCACCCCAGTACATGCTCTGTTGCCTCAGAGACTGAGGAGGCCATTGACCTGCAATAGTCAATTTGCAGCATACCCAGATGCCAGCATACACCTACTGGAGAAAACCATGAAACCAAAATGCCACACAGTTGACCTAAAGCAATATAACTAGTCAGTAGCAGAACCTGAGCAAGAAGAAGTA